TGCCATTCAACCTATAGCAGGGAGAGAAGAGATGGATATTTGTGTGCAAGTGAATCTAATGAACTTGACTGGAATTCAAACTCAGGTTTCTGAGTTCTCACTTACACACACACATACACATATATATATATATATATATATATATATATATATATATATATATATATGCATGCACTAAATTAGAAACTTTTTTCATATACAACTACGGGGGAAAAGTTAAGAGGCTATATGAGTGTTATACAGTAGTTTCACAGTGGAGGCTTGTATTTCACTAAGTCGGTCCTAAAAAGGTTCGACGTACAAAATGTTAGGAACTTGTTATAATAGTTAATGACGCAGCAATCTAGTTGTGGTGGCTGATACTTTAATGTCTGACATCGACTGACTCACCCACTCACTGGTGACTGCTACTACTACTACTTATTATAGGTGGGAGAGTCCATTAACTATAGAATAGGTGTGTTCCAGTATAACAATGAGTTACACAACTTGATAAATAGATACATGCTGATTTTCTGCTGTTAAGTATTTTGAAAAAAATGCAAGAAAGAAACATGTATAATAAAAATAAACTTATTTTGAAAGACTACACTAATTTTAAGCTATTTCTGAATGAATGACTCCTGCTGGTTAGCCTTCTTAGATGAAGCATTGTCAATTATTATTCATTTTCCACTAGTATTTCTTTCATCTTCATTTCTCTTGCTTTTTTTATTGCAACTCCCGTCGATAAGAAGTAGAAGCAGAGAATATAGCTATATGGCTAAATTTGAATGACTCCTGCTGGTTAGCATTTTTAGATGAAGCATTGTCAATTATTATTCATTTTTGACTAGTATTTCTTTCATCTTCATTTCTCTTGCTTTTTTATTGCAACTGCCATCCATAAGAAGTAGAAGTAGAGAATATAACTATATGGCTAAATTTGAATGATTCCTGCTGGTTAGCCTTCTTAGATGAAGTATTGTCAATTACTTTTGCTGATTACAAGTCAGTTCTCTTTCTATAATCATAAAAAGTATATTTATGACAAAGTTGGCATCATAACAATTACTTTATTTCTAAACAATAAAATTAATAAAAAAATACTTTCAATATCTGTCTATATTTCTGAAATGTGGTATTTTAATTATTTACACTATTTACATTGTTCAAACTTTTGTTGTCATCTTCGTTGCCTTTGTATCACATCTTTGTATGCTCCAGCTTTCTTCAGGTAATTGAAATTTCAAAGGTAACCCTTTATTTAGTCCACTAAAGCAAATTGCTCTAGTTCCACATGCCATGACGCTTCTGGATGCCTCAATATCAGTTATCTCTTGAGTTAAAGGGAGATAACTGATACTGAGACAGACATCTGGAAGTGGTATGGCACATGGAACCAGCATAATTTACCCTGGTGGACAAAATAATGGGTTTAGTTTGAAATTACAATCACCTAAAGAAGGCTGGAGCATACAATGGCTGAATATGGCTACAATGAGAACAGTCTGAACTATGTAAATAGTGTAAAATTATTTTCATGTTTATTTTGTTTGAGGTCACATTTCTTTGTATGCCCTTGTCAACAGAGTGGGAAGTGATGGATTCAAAGCTCTGTCAAATTATATATTATTTGTAATAAAATAGTTTTAAAATACCAAGATGAAGAGGATTAACTTTGAGCTAAATTATATCTACTTTTCTCATTGAATTTCTTAAGCAGACTCCAGCAGGAAACTACCACAAACCCAAACTAAAAATGTTTGCTCCCAGTAGGACAATGTGATTTGAGATAGGCCTCCTGGGCAAGTTGCATTATGACTTGGCCTTTAGTAAAGAACAGCATAAACAGGACCCACCTTCTAAAATGATAATGAATCAATATTTTTTGAATCTGACAAATGTCATGGCCTAAGGAAGTTCTAAAGAACGCTTCTCTATAAAAAATTTTCCTATTTTTTCTTTTTATACGTGAGCCAGTCTATTCAAGTAGTGTCGGAAATACTTCCTCATGCTAATTAATAATCATTAACTCCATCAATAAAGAAAGAGGTTATGTATTTTCCCATATTTGTGTTTGATGTGTTTCTGATGATTAATTATTACAAGTTTTTGTCTTAGCAGAGACTGGGATCTCTCAATATATATTGCAAAGATTCACCAGACTGTGTCATCTTGATTGTTCAGTTTTTAGTGACAAGGTGTTGACAAAAATATGCATGCCAAGTGTCTGCAAGGTCAAATGTTAAGTTTTTTTTGTTTTTTTTTTAAACTGAATAGAAAAGGGTTTTGGAATCAATAAGAACATACCTGATACAATGCCTAGTGGTAATTCATATGGATTTATAAAACAGGGACATGAAAAGGCTGCATACAAAAGTGCTTTTTTCCAGTCATCAAGCCACAAGACCTTTTCCCAAAATTTCATAAAAGAAGAGTCTTCACTAAAAGAAAAAGGAAGGAATAAAAATACCATATCAACAAAGAAAGAACAATTCTTGAGGTCATTTTTTTTATCTCAAATCTATTTCCAGACATTATGATAAAGACTTATCTGTTTGATTAATTTTTTTTTTTTTTAAACAGTTTTGACAGGTTATTTAAAGCCATAAAATATTTTTTTTTAGATTGTAAGCAGTTTTTGATGATAACCAAGGCTTTAAAATATTCAGACAAACTACATCTCCTGGTTCCACCAGATCCGACCTTCACAGCTAGGACCTGCCATGCCACTTACATGTACTAACAAACCACCCACATTCCCTCTGTATCTCATCGGCAAATAGTAAATTCCAATCAAACTGCTTCTTTCCACAAACCACTGCCCTGTGGAACTGACTCTCAAGAGGATGTCTCCCAGATCACTTCAATCATAACCTAGTCAAGTCTAGAGTCAACTGTTATCTTCTCCTGTTCATATAAACTACACCCTAACATACTCCTCTACCTTGAGTGGATTGTGGGGCTTGTACAGGGTGGAACTTACCATAAAAAAAAAAAAAAACCAACATGAAAAAAGACCTTGACTAGGGTATGTTTGTTGTAGGTTTAGAGTTGTGTTCTCTGGAATAATTGACTGTTTTGGAGAAAGAGTCTCAACAGAGATGGCATTACTTTTAAAATGTGCACTGTAGCTGTGCTAATTTGCATAAAAACCATGATACAGAATTGGCAATGAATCATAGCTGATCTATGGCTGCAACAACAGGGACAAAAGACCAACATTTTTCAGTGTTGAGTTGCTCTGTTGACACTGACAGATTAGAGGGAGAGCACTGATTGGATTTGCAACTGTTCCATTTTACTCCAGACACAGATACAAATGATAATTCCTCATTGCAGAAATACTCAAGATTATATATAAATGTGCAACTGATTTTGAAACAGGTTGATGTAGTGTTATAGACTTCCGATCTGGGTTGATCTCTCATAGTAGTTCTCACAGGTTGGCATGGTGCTCCTCCTGCTGACTGACCGTGACAGGTCTCTTCTCTGGCCTCCTATTGACTGCTGTTTACTTGAGTGGATATTGAAAATGAAGTGGTCAAAGATGATAATCACGCTAGTGATATGTAGGAAAGCGATGATGACCACTAGCAGCTACAATCATCCATGCCTGACTAATTTTGTAGAAGCTACTGACGACCATCGATATACCTGATAGCCTTTCTGATGGTAAATTTTTTGTCTATTTATAAACAATGAAATAATAACTTTATTCGTCAATGAGACAAATATGAGTCAGGTGAAAGAAAGAGCAAACAAATGCTAGTGACTTCTCGTATGTAAACACAAAGAAAAATGTCACTTTTTTGATGATATGAAAGCCTTCTTAGTGATTTTGCTTCTTATTGCAACCCAGAACTCCATAAGGAGTATATAAAAGTTAAATTTACATTGAATTATTTGTGTATTTTTTAATGTATTTGCTTTTTTTTTTTTCACTTTATTTCACGTTTCAATTTTGTTTTCAAAATCAAAACATACATGCAAAACAATGCATTACATCAAAATATTACTCATTCTTTTATTAGTGTACAAAAATTAAAATCTATACACAAAATACAAAGAAAGTTATAACAGTTTTAAAACATTAGGTGTTCATGTTTTTGCACCCTCAAAAAAAAAAAAAAAAAAAAAAAAATGCAGTGGCAGGGGGGAACAATTCAAGAAAGAAATTGGCATGATAAAGCTGAAGGAGTGATTTTCCAAGTGGAGCTTAGATGTGGCACAAGGCCGAAAGTAGGGGGGCACCCAGATGGTAAAGCTTAACTAGTGATTTTCCAAGCGTAGCTTAGATGTGGCACAAGGCCGAAGGTAGGGGGCACCCAGATTGTAAAGCTTAAGTATTCACGAATAAATGCTTTTCTATGCAAATTTCTAATCAGTCAATAATGTGGAACCAATTTAACCGATATAGGCATTTAAACAGGGTCATGGTTAACTTCTGAATTTCACTTCATGCATTACTATAGGAAAGAAATGCGATTTAAGTGATTTTGAATACGCCATGGTCATTGGATTTTAAGCGGGAAGGTCCAAGTATATGAAGATTTGCAGAATCTTGAGGCTTAGAAAAAAAAAAAAAAAAAATTCCAATGAGTGGCAATTCTGCGGGCAGAAATCCCTTGTTGATAAAAGAGATTGGAATAGAATGACAAGACTTGTTCAAGCTGATAGAAAGGCAACAGTAGTTTAAATAGCAATTTTTTACAACTAGGGGTATACAGAAGTTTTACAGATTAGTTTTCTACAGTTTATCGACCCCAGGTTATTTAAAGCCAGAAAATATTTTTTTAGATTGTAAGAATATTTTTATTTTTTTGAGAATCATCATTTCATGATACAGCTCTTACTAATTAACCCATAGCTGGGGGAGGAAGAGGTGGATTCATACATTTCCCAGGAGTATTTGCATATAAGTGAATATAACAAACCCAACTGAATTTGGAACTTGGCTCTTTGATGAACAATTCCAAGCTATTATCTATTATGACATCTATATATCAAAGTTTTAAAGCACCTAGTATTCCCAAATAGTCACCCATCTAAATACAGACCAGGCTTGATGTTGCTTAACTTCAGTGATGATAGGGGAACCAGAGTTTCAACAAGAGATGGCCGTAAGTTAAAGACTTATTGCCAATAAATCTGCAGCATAATGATAAAAAATGACATTTATTTGAAACAAATATTTTTCAATAAAAGTACATCAATAAAGAAAGTGATTAATTTGGTTGTGATTATTAATCACTGATTGAACATTATACAGTGAAAATGCCATGAAAGTATTTGTAAAACAGACAGAGAGGCGATGGCGCGTCTGTGAGAAAGTGACTGTAGACGACATGCCAGAGCAGGGCCAATTATATTGCATATCCGCCTCTGGAGCCTATCAAGAACCCCAAGGCAAACAGAAGGGGCTCCAGACCATATATAGCAGCAATACTCCATGCAAGAAATTAATTGTTGATTTGTAGATCTGAAGGATCGATTCCGGGGAGAAAAAATTTCCTGGCGCGGCACAGGGAGGCAACTTTCTTGCGGTGGATGAAGCAATTGACTCAATGTATTTGTTCCATCTCAGGTCAGCAGTCAACGTGAGACCGAGCAGCCACAGAGAGTTGCTCTCGAGAAGTTGAGCGTCAGACATTCTAATGGAGGGCAGGGAAGGATCTCTGTGGTGATTAATAGAGAGCAGTTTTGTTTTTGAAGCAGTTATTGTGTTTGGGTGTTTGTTGATGTCCAATTTCAGTTCTTCAGACTTCAATGTTACATCACAAACTGCGTCATTGACAATTTTCTTTTGATTTTATCCCCCTTTATTATATGAAGTATAGTAGCTGTAGGATCATTTCTAGGAAGAAGCAAGAGGAAGAGGCCAGGATTTCATCAATATACTGGCTTGCCTCACTAAGGATTCTGAGTGTTTGTTGCTAGATCTGCTGCTACAAAAGTGGGTTCCCTGTGTCATGCTAGAAAATTTCTCTCACCAGAATCTGTCTTACACATTTATAAGTCTACCATTCGTCCATACATTGAATATTGCTGCCACATCTGATCTGGTGCTTCTGCTATGTATTTAGAGATTCCTGATAAAACACAAAGAAGAATCTGCAATGTTACTGGTCATGACATGGCATCTCACTTTCAGTCCCTTTCCCACTGCCATAACAGTTTCCCTGTACCTTTTCTATAAATAATTTCATGGTAATTTTTTGGATGAACTTTCCTCTATGAAACCTAGAATTTAAATGCAGTACTAGAATGACAGCAAGCTCTCATCATTTTACAGTTGAAATGGCTAGATGTAACCATAAGTTCTATTCAAACAGTTTCTTCTATTGCACTTCTCGTTTGTAAAACTCTTTCGTCTTCTTGCTCTCCAGTTAACTTTGGTCTTAAAAATTTTAAATGCAGTGTCAATCATTATCTTGTCTTAGTTCCTCTTATGTTTTCTTTTTCTCACATTCTCTCACAGACAGTAACACCCCCAACACCTTTTGTTTTAGTGGTTTTTGTCTTACTTGTGGTGAAAAGAATAAAAAAAAATGCTTGCAGCCGTCTCTCTGCCTTTGTGCTTTTTTGGCCTTATTTTGAAAGCTTAAACAAAGGCAATCCATCACTATCAGAATTTCACACCCACAGGGTCTTCTGACCAGTAGTTTGCCCTTCTGAACCAGCCTCTGTATTCTGTAACATCTGTAACATTACCATATGACTCCCCCCACCCAAATACCTTTTGATAGATATTTTAAATTATCATTTGAGACCACTATTGATCTTTCCTGTTATGTCTCCAGAACTGGCCTTGTATACATGGGTCAAAAAAAAAAAAAAAAATTATGGTACAGAACCCCCCCAAAAAAAAAAACCCTCATGTTTTCCATGTACATAAAGTGGAACAATTATATTGGATCAACTGCTAAGTCTGCTGCTAGGAAAGTTGGTTCACTGTGTCATTCCAGACAATTTTTCTTCAAGAGAATCCATCTTGCATTTATAAATCTCCCATTCATCCAAGCATTGAATATTTCTGCCATATCTGGTCTGGAGCTCTTGTAATATATCTAGAGATTCTCGGCAAAATCCATAGAAGGTTCTGTTATGTTATTAGTCCTAATCTGGCATCACTTCAGTCAATTTCCCACTACTGTGATGTGTCTTCCCTCTGTCTTTTCTATAAATATTTTCAAGGCCACTTTTCTAATGAGCTTTCCTCCTTGGTACCTCAACCACATCAATTTAGGCAGACAACTAGATTGGCAACAAAAATTCAGTGTTTACTGTTGATGTAATACTAAGTTTTACTTTAATAGTTTTTCTCACCTTTAGACCTACCCTCCATTTTTTTGCTTCCTTGAAACCTACGATTTTCAAAAATTTAAGTGCAATGCCAAATGTCATATTATGCCTTCCCGAATCTTCTTTCATTATCCTTCTTTTTTTTTTTTTTTTTTTTTTTAAAGCTTTTCACCCCAAACAAGGCGAGACTGCCACTAGCACACAAGAGGTGTGAAAGAGGAAAGGACAAAGAGAAGGATGGGGGAGTAGATCAAGGCATCTGGAGATGTTGACTGACATTGCATTTGAACAGTTGCAGATTATAGCTATCAGGGAAGCAAGTAAGAGGAAGGGAGTTTCACAGACGGGAAGTGAAAGACATGAAGCTATTGAAGTAGAAGATACAGCTACATTTAACTGTTTTGACAGTGAAAGGGTGGAATTGAGATGCTGACCTAGTTGCACATTTAAACTCATGCAGATTGGGAATAGCGAAAATAGCTTGTCAGAGCAGTTACTGTGAAAGTATTTGTAGAAAAGACAGAGGGAGGCAACAGAATGTCTGTAAGAGAGAGACTGTAAATGAGATGTCAGATCAGGGCCAACCACACTGCATATCTGTCTGTGGATTTTGTTGAGGACCCTAAGACAAACAGTGGGGGCTCCAGACCATATATGACAGCAATATTCCATGCAAGGGCGAATGGTTGATTTATAGATTTGAAGGATGGACTCAGGTGAGAAAAACTTTCTGGCACGATACAGAGAACTAACTTTCCTTGCGGTAGATGAAGCTAAGTTATTGAAGATAAGGAACAGTATAGGACCCAGGATATAACCTTGGGGAACACCTGTGTTCATGAGAAAGGAACTGGAGGAGAATCCATTAAGGACAACCTTCATTACATGGTTCTCACTAAAGTTTTCTCATTCTCTTTCACTCTTGGTAACCCCTGGTGTCTTCGTGGCATTATCACCCTGCTTGGGGTGAAATTATATATATATATATATATATATATATATATATATATATATATATATATATATAAAAAACAAAAAACATAGGTATAGGGTACATCAACAATAAATAAAACTTTATAAAATTCCAAATACATAAGTGTGCTGTGTAAAGCTTAATGAAGCATGTATACTTGACTATTTACTATCTTGGAAGGTAGAGCGAGTTATGTATAATGCATAGATTGAAAAACAAGGATATACCTCATACAGACTGCAACCCAATAATCCATTAAAAACACCGTTTCTAAAAACATGGTGATGACAGCAATGACTCTGAAAAATAAATTGATAAAACATTTTTATAATAAATAAAGATGCAAAAAGATGTGTGATAGTAAGACGTAATAAATCATTTTGTCAATAACAATAAAGAGGTCAGTTGTCTTCAAAATGACATTAAGTTAGGAATTAATTTATACGGTGATCCTTAAGTGGCATCAATGTTCTGCTTTACTTAAACAGAACTTCATTTCAACCATTTCATATGGCAAACCAAGTGTTGTACAGTCAATCATTGATCCAAATGAATTATTATCAGAAGATATTTTGCAAGAAGATTGGTGCTTATTGGAACTCAGCAATCATCTTAGAGAGCCTATAACTGTGCTACATTGGTTCGCACAATAACGAAAATTCATTTGAAACAGCCTACATTTCAAATGGACATGGCAAACTACATACATAGAAGTGTAGTCCACCTATTAGCCACTGTAATAATGTTTAATTGTAATAGACGTATATACCTTGGTCATATTGATTTTATGCCGTTCAGGGAATAGCAGCTTATTTTAGGTACACTTAAATGAAGGGTTACCATTTATACATTTAAAACACTAGTAATGAAAACATTTTGGTAAAGAGAAGGATACAATTTTTAACCATATCACTACTGAGCACAACTTAAAAGTACATTTGTAGACACGTGATCTATATTTTTTTTTTTTTTTTTTAAATCATTTAACTGAAGAAGTCTGATAAACCCAGAAGTGATTTTTTGGTTTGGTTTGTTTTACGACCTATCAACTTCAATGGGTTTTTTAACGCTGACAAAATTTTCAGCGTTGGTAATATTTTTTTTTCCAAAAATCTATTTCTGGTAAGGATTTTCCTTCACTGGTAATATTTTTTTTCAAAAAATGTATTGCTGAATTTTTTTTTTTTTTTTTTTTTTTACAAAGTATTTCTGGTATTAAAACCCATATTTACACTTTCATAGTGTTTTGACCCCATTTTTTTTGGGGGGGGGTAACTATTTGCCCATAGCTGGGACCTTAACAGGTGCTACCACCCCAAGTCAGGGTGGACCTGGGAACATCAGTAATTAAGAGGTGGTTCCACGCTCTTTAAAACCTCCTGGTCAGAGGCCTTGTTGCTGGATGCAGTTTATCATCTTACCCAGGACAGAAACCCAGAAGTGAAAAAACTGAGGAAATGTTATTAAGGATAAGGGACAAAGAGAAAAGGATTCAAGGAGACAGAGAATGATGATTAAAATTACATTTAAATTTTTGAAGATTGGAATTGGCAGGAAATCAAGAAACCAGAAAAGTAGACTTCCACAGGCAAAAGGAGGAACTTAGCATAAATGTTATGCTTACATATAGCAATATCATGAGTTAAATAAGACTGCACTTAAATTTGTGAAGTTTGGGGAACCAAAGAAGAAAGCTTATAAAAATTATCTATGACTCAACCTAATAATTTGAACCTAAATACACTCGTCTTTTTTTTTTTTAATCATTTCATCTCAAGCAAGGCATTAAAGTCACTAAGATGCAAGTGATTACTAAGTGTGAGAGAATATGAGAAAAAAACAAAACAA